TATCATTTTTTATAAAATTAATTAATAAGTAATAATATTACGAATGATTTTTTTTAAAAAAATATTTCAAAATGAATTATTATACAAATTTAAGTATAACTTACTATAAACTAAGATGAAAAAAATCATTAATCTAACTGAATATTTTAACATAATTTTACTCTTTTTTACCAAATGATAACTTATACTTGAAATGTCTGTAATATTCTGATTTTTCGCTTGATAATCGTTTAATATCCAGATAGATTCAGGATAATTTTTTAAATACATGCGGTACCTTTACTCTCATAATTAAAAAATAGGCTACTCAGCTAATTATTGAACTCCTATGTAATTAAACAGGCAGCCCTTTTTTAATAAAATGTGAATTAAATCCAAATTAATCAAATTTCAAGTTATTTCTATGAATAAAATTATTAAATTGTTGACGAAATTAAAAATGTAATAAAATAAAAATTAAATCATTTTAAAAGTAAATTATAAAATGTCGATGTGTTCATCGTTTTGTATACTTATAACATAACTTGCATAAATTGTTTTAATCGATTTAATTCTAGTTAGTACTTAAATTTCTATAATTGCCTATAAAAACAATACGTTTATACACCAATGTCCAAATTATTGGCGTTCGTGCTTGGGTAGTTGATATTTATATTTTCAACTAATATTAACAAGCATTCACTATAGTCATTAATAATTTTCCGCATTCATACACACCATAATTAGAATCGGCTATGCGGTTGGTTAAATTCGTCAAAAATAATATTATGCGCGCAAAAATCATGTATACAAACTCTGTTGGCTGATGATTAGTAATAATATAATTTTATACAAATGCGCATATGTATTCTATATATATTTGTATTGTATAGGTATGTTAATGACATTAGTACACTTTATTTTCATAAACAATAATTTTTCCTCATTATCAAATGAATGTTTTCTTTTTTGCTCTCAGATATCAAAAATGTATAAGTACTCTAATTAAATATATATATATAATAATACGTGCTTATAATTTAGGTATAAACCTATATTTAATTAACCTTAGACGTGTAGAATGACCAGGCCAATATATTCCATATCACAACGTAATCACATGTATTTGTATGTATATCATATGTAAATTATTAAATAATGATAGTCTTGCCATATTTCAGAGTATGAGTGTAATAAATTATCCTATTGAATAATTCAAAACTCATCTTAGAATTAGACGATTCGTGTTACATTCTGTGAACTATTTCGTAGGAATGAATTTAGTTGGTTTCAATAAAAAGTAAATAGAACGAGGACTAAACGCACAGCAAAAAATATTAATTTTCTTTATTCTTTTTGTTTTGGCATTACTACAATCTTACTATATTGCAACGTTTTAAACGGCCTTCAATAAATTGAATCCAACGATTTATTATAATTAACATATTAGTATGTCTATATGTATTATAGTATAGACCCGTGACGGATCTAAATCTTATTTTGAAGGAGGACGAATAGGAATATTTCTGAGTGATACCTAAAGTACTAAGAAGACTTGACCGTAATTTGAGCAATTCAATATTCTAAGGGATTAGATCATCCCTCCACCTCATAAATTCGCTCCTGATGTAGGTAAGCCAGTCACCAATCGAGTTAATACAGTATATTCAAATACTTCCATACGCGCTGCTAATAGGTGAACATCGATTTCTATGCGAATTTCCAACTATAGATAAAAATGTCTAATTCAATGAAGCCTAAATTACATTATTAAAACTTAATTTTATAATAATTTTCATCGTAATATGTTAAAAATAACCTACGTTAGATAAAATATAAATTATTATGTAAATGTTAGTATATTAAAATAATTATGTGTTTTTACTCGTTGATTACAGTCATACGAGTAGTAGTCGATAAAAAAAATCGAATACAGTTTAATTGATACGATTTTTAGCATACAGATTATACTGAACATTTTAAAATCTAAATATCTACTGTTCTAGATGAAAAGTTAGTGTTTATATTTTTGTAATAAAACATCATTTTTATGGGTTTTCTTTGTAAACATTTAATGTTCAGAAACGTGTTATGAAATAAAATCTTGTGAAATAGTGATGAGTTTATTACCTAATATTACTGATTACCGTAGGAAGATACTTACGTACATACATATTTTAAATGTTGTGTAAATAAACTAGCTTTTCTCAATATCAAGCTGTGTGAAACTGATTTATATCAGTTATATAAACTATCTTTTAAAACATAAATGTGCAAGGATCTTATAGTTTTCCTTATTATTTGTATAATATATCATCGAAATTTAATAGTATTGTCACAATCATTTACAGTATTATTTATCTCTGTTTTCGCATAATTTATATATATATATATATTTGGTACTATAATTGTGAATTAATAAATCAAGAAAAACTGTTAGAACGTTTTCAGCTCTCTTATTAGTATTAATGTATGGTTTATAGTCAAGCATATAAATCTCGTTACGCGGCGTTAATGTGTATGTTAAGCATTTTTCATAACTATCTTGAAGTTTTTTTATTCGAAATTTTAAGTATGATCATTTCTAAATTAGCTACCATACAATTTTCGACTCTTACAACAAGTTCGATCCGAAAAAACGTTAATTCGCGTTGAACTACAAGGAAAAAATCTATTGATTAAACTTAATTTTTCTATACCCTGAGAAGTATTCATACAACATTGCCTCGAGAAATATATGTATTTAAATACTACAGTCTCTGAGTGAAATCCATCATTCAAAATTCGTGTCATAAATCACAGTTATTGCGTATTGTTCGGTTTTTATTACGTTTCATACACCTGTGATATCTTGCTAAGTACATTTTCGATGGTTCAAAATTATATGACTATTATTAAAAGAAAACGGATTTGATTATAACAAACTGTTTTTTGTCAAAATACAATTAAAATTAATATTTTGTGTGCTCGTTCATTATAAACATTGCATTTGATGAAATATTTGCCCCGAATTAAGGCGTAGAAAACGCAATGTAGTCAATCCCGTAAGAATGTATACGTGTCAAGCTGTTTTAATAAATATTATTCGTATGTAGAAAAGTATAATCATGTGACGATATTCAAGTGCGAAGGATGTTATTGATAATTTCTAACAATTGTTTACTTACCATAGATATATGTGTTTGTACCTAAAACGATTATGCCGAACAATTCTACGCGCTGCGGCGTTTCACAGCGGTAACATAACCCAGTGACCAATGGGGCACCCGCATCTCTCTGGTTACATCGTCATAACAAAATTTGAAAATCATCTGAGAACTCCCAACGGTTAAGTATGATTGGGATAATCGACAGCACAATACGAATACTGAATCATATGGTGTGGATGTTAATATTTTTGACGTCTATATTAGTACAAATATGTGTCGTCGTATTTTAAAAATGCATATCCACTGTGTAGGGATTTTCTTTGATCATTAATATTTCATAATCAAGTGTGTCGATGTAAAACCAAACAATATCGAATAACATGCATTCAATAATTTTCATAAGCATTTATGATGGTACCTATATTTTTTTTTCGATTAAAGTAGTTGGTCTCTAAAAATATTACATGACGTTAACAGCAAAGATCATCCTGTTATGTATTATTCTCCATCCAAAAATGTGCATGCATTTTTACCTTAAGATTTCTATTTTTTATATTATATTATAATATCATTTTACATATGTGTTACCTATGTCGTACATGTTAGACATATGGAAGAAAACAATATATTGTAGTTTCTTCTGTAAACTGAATTCAATCAAATTAATTTAAAATTTTAATTGGCAAAAAATTACAAAAATTGCTTGATAACACTGATAAAACTGCTCCTGCATTGATAATATAATATATATATATATATGTATATGATAATATTAACATAATTAAATGGACAACGTATATAATATGATTATGATGATAATGTAATTATTTCAACCATGAGTAATGTGCTAATGAATATGTCAAACATATTTCAAGTTCATTTAGACACAATTAATCTTGTAACAATAAAATCTATATATATATATAAAAATGAATCCCTATTTCCCTTGGTCACGCCATCACGCGTGAACGGCTGGACCGATTTCGCTAATTCTTTTTTGTTGTGTTACTTATTGTCAAGAGAAGGTTCTTATGGAAGAAAGTTGCGCGTACATAAGTTGCAAACATAAAATAAAATAAAATAATAGAAATAATAAAATAAACATAAGTTGCGTAAAAATCGAATGCTGATTTTGTTTGCCGAACAGAACATTAATGCAATTAGAAATCAAAACGCCCAATCACCCAATAAACGACTCATTTAATCAAGAGTTGAGACGTGAAACCTAAACATTTGAATTAAACCAGTAGACAGCCGTAATTGGCGTTCGTGGCAGTCATCGTACAGACCGCGGGAGCTTCACGGCAAAACGTGTCTCCAATTGCCTGGATTACCACCTCATAATCTGCAATTAAAAATCGGATCGGTAATCATTATGTTGCGGAATATAAATTAGCCACATCTTTGCAATGACACCCAACTCGCGATGAAGAAATTAATGAAAAACGTCATTGAAGCCACAATTTTGAAAAGGAAGTACAAAGGCAAAGACGTTTTGATTCCACGGATTCCTTTAAATTTCGAACGAATTGCCATTCGACTTTAAACAGTTGCAATTTCTAGTGCGGCATTTGGAATATCGATAGATAAATCTCAAGGGCAGTCGTTTGAAAATCCATGTTTTTCACATGGCCAGTTATATTTCGCCTGTCCCCGATTCAGATTACCAAAAAAACTATTTATATACACACAAAAAAAAAAACTAAAAATGTTGTATATCATAAAACATTAGAATAATAAACACTTTTTTTGAAATATTTTTTTTTTATTAATTATACCGATCAGAATTCAATATTCATAATTAAAATAGGACAACGTCTGTCAGGTCAGCTAATAATGAAATAGGTACAATTTTTTTTTTTTTTTTTTTAGAAATATTATTTCAGAAGCACAAAATAAGTCTTACTAAAAATGGCTTCAGAAAAAATCGCAATGACTCAACAATCGATAGTTGAGGAAGAACAAACGCGAATTGGAAATCAAAAATGGACACAATATTTAGCTGCTTTTATTGGTAAGTACTATATTTTATTATTATTTTTTTAAATAAACCGTGAAATAAGTTTAATACACATGTGTGTATATATTTATAGCGACGATTGGTGGGTTCATCGCGGGCACGACCCTTGGATGGACAGCTCCAGCTGGTCCAATGATGGAAAGCAATCAATATGCGTTCACCATAACTCAGGAAAATGTCGCGTGGATTGGAGCATTTATGCCGCTTGGTGGTATGCTCGGATGCCCAGTGACAGCGGGCCTAGTCGACAAGTTAGGACGTAAAAACATGATGCTGATGTTAACCATACCTACACTCATTGGTTGGGGAATGATAATATGGGCCGAATCCGTAAGCATAATTTTTCAATCGTTGATTCATGATTGGTTTTTATTTTTATTTAAATACCATATAAATTTTCAGGTGACATGGATCTGTATGGGAAGACTTTTAACTGGATTCGCTACCGGATCATTATCTGTCATCGTACCTTTGTATACATCTGAAATAGCCGAAAAAGAAATTCGTGGTACTTTGGGTACATATTTCCAGTTACAAGTTACTGGAGGAATTTTATTCACCTACATTGTAGGATCTTACGTAAGTTCTTATTAAATAATCACACTAGTTATATATACTATTCAATGTGGACGTAAAATACTACACGTTTTTATTTTTCCGCCATGCAGTTCAACGTATTCGGTCTGTCCATCATCTGCGCCATAATACCGCTGTTGTATGCGGGTTTAATGGTCTTAATACCAGAAAGTCCTATCTTCAACCTTATGCAAGGAAAAACAGAAAAAGCTCGTTTGTCTTTGAGATATTTCCGTGGACCTTATGGCACAGTGGATCAAGAATTGTCGCTGATGCAAGACTCTTTAGCTAAGGTATATATACATATAAACATTAGGGATTCTAGTACGAAATGCTATATTAAACTCTGAGTGGTGTTTTGTCGCAGACCGAAAGGGAAAGAGTTCCAATAATGGAAGCATTCCAGACAACACCAGCTAAACGCGGACTGTTCATCGGTCTCGGAGTCATGCTTCTGCAACAGTTCAGCGGATGCAATGCTGTCATATTCTACGCTACATTCATCTTCAAAGTAAGACATCAACGTGGATATTGTTGTGTAAAAGCCCGTACCGAATCGTTTATAAAATTACCTGTTATTGTAATATAGGAAGCGGGCAGCGCTCTTGAACCTAGCAAAGCCACCATCGTAGTCGGTGTTATGTCCGTGATCGCCACGTACGTCTCTACACTGGTCGTCGACAAACTGGGAAGGAAAATTCTACTCTTGTCTTCTATTATCGTCATGGGAATTTGCACGCTGTTGATTGGCGCGTTCTTCTACATGAAGGTCAATAATTACAACGTCTCGTCTATCGGACTGATTCCGCTCGTGTCCATGTGCTTGTTCATAATCCTGTTCTCACTGGGCTTCGGACCCATTCCTTGGATGTTGATTGGAGAAATCTTCCCGGCACAAATCAAAGGTAACACATTATTACCATTGTTGTTTAACGGTATTGTGTTTCGTCGACTCGATACATTATCCGCGTACACCTATGCAGAAGTGGAACTAGGAATTTTTATGCCCGGATAAAATGTTAAAATTACGCCCTATCATAGACTAATAATCAAATGCTCTTCTCGAGAATTATTTTCTAATAATCGATATGAAATCATACTTACTGTGTTTTAATCTAATATCAGTATTTAACAAAGTTAAAAATATCAAATTAGTTGTTATTAATTACAAAAATTACACCATCTAAAATTTTACGGCTGGAGATGAATCCCTGTCTTCCAGCCTCTAGTTCTACCCCTGCATCTATGTACATCCAAGTGCACACTTCATACACAACTTTCAATGTTTAGGTACCGCTTGCTCAATCGCCTGTATGTCCAATTGGTTCTTCGCGTTCGTCGTGACGAAATTCTTCTCGTCGTTGGTAGCTGCCATTCACATATACAACACGTTCTGGTTATTCACATTATTCTCCGTGTTGGGCACGTTCTTCGTGATCACCATCGTCCCCGAAACCAAAGGAAAGACGATGGACGAAATCCAAGAGATGCTCGGCGCAGGTAGTGATCTCACACCACCAACACACGCCATCAATCCTGTGATGGACACCAAAGAAAAATTCTAAGCTAGTACACCTGTAACGGATTAGTTAATCGTTCCGTCTCCTTTATCTTCCCAATTAGTATTAAACAATACCACGATTGTTTTATTGAATCAATATGAATCATTACTTATTACATACAAATTGGTAATGTACTACACCTGTTAAAGGGTGTTCGTTTCTTTTGTAGGTTTATTTATTGCATAAAACCATTATTAATGGGAAGGCAGATTTGTAAACATTATCATTTACTGACATCATACTATGATTTATGGCTGAATTGTATTTAATTCTTTTTTTTTTTTTTTTTTAATTTAAACGATGAACATCAACCAAGGAAATTATTTACATCGATTGCTAGACTTCGATGAACGATATCCACTCAATCTAATGTCTATTTATATTGCTTCATCTAATATCTATTGATTTTTATATCATCATATCATACTATTTTATTTATGAACATATTTTAATCATTTCATTGTTATAAAACTGATCATTTATATTGATTTTTGGTTTATATATATATATATTTTTTTTTAAGTGTACAATCGCCTTAAATGTCATTAAACTATTGCCAGTTGACGTGTTTTGGCGATTAGAATCTGTGATACTTTGGAATAACTAGCTATTGTATAAGCTGAATGTGTGAAACTAAACGAATGAGAGAGTGCAATGCAATATTAGATAATAAGTAACTACTTATTTAATTTTTTTAAGTTTTTAATTTATTATAATATTATTTTAATATGAATATGAAGAAATAAAATCTTTATTATAAAAAACATAATTTATTTTGTTTAAACATAATAGATTCATTTTTAAATTATTTTATCAGTTATCTTTTTACTTACTCATAAAAAATATGATGTAGGTATATGTCACATTAATAATTGTATAAAGTCTGCATAAACCAGATTAAGTATTATTAACATTAACCACTATGGATATCATTAAAGAGTAATATAAATCAGCTAATTTCACTTATATAACTTATCCTAGGCGGTCTTTTAAATTTTTTTTTTTTTAGTTGGGACAAAAATCCAACCATGGTATTAGATTACTGTGTGAAAGACGAATGGACGCTATGTATTTGGTTAGAATGTCCGTAGTTTCATTACCTGAGATACTAATATGGCCTAGAACCCAGAGAAACTGAATATCGAAACCCATACTATTGAGTGCTAGAAGAAGCTTCCTAATTGATAGGATAAGGTGACTAGAAGAGGAATAGAAAATATTTGAAGAGAGGGATTGTAAGCAAGAGAAACAGTCAGTAACAATCAACCATTTATTTGGTTGTAGAGTGGTAATAAGTTTGAAAGCTTTAATAATGGAAAAACATTCAGCAGTATACGAAGAAGCTATTGGAGATAGGTTGTTGGTAAAAGAAATATGTAAATTGGGAATGAAAAAGGAGAAACCGGCAGAAATAGATGAAATCGATAGATGAACCATCTGTGTAAAATAGATAAAAATTTGGGTGCAGTTTACGTAAGCACTTTTTTTTTGAAGTGATCAAATATAAATACATTTAAAATCAATAGGAAAAGTAAATAAATCGCTATAATAAGAAAATCTATTACTATAAAAAATCAATCCATCACAATACTTAAAATGTATACTAGTCTATTAGATACATTTCTTATTTCAAAAATAATTTGTAAATACAATGTATATTATACATATATATTATACCGATTAATGATGTTTAGTGTTATTATTATCTCCTATACGGTTATTTTTTGCACAATTTCTAATGTTTTGTTAAGAACCGAATAATTTTGCGTGCTTGAAAATACATTATTTAGAATCGTTTAAATTGTCAGACAAAATATTTAAAACCATCTACTTAATGATACTTCTGTTATTCAACAGGTTTTAGTTTTTTAGTCAAATAGCAATTTGAGATCGGCGTGGCACAAATACTTTATGCCAATAAAAATAATTTTCTTCAGTTTTCATCAATTTAAAAAAAAAAAAAAAAGGCGAAGAAGAAGAAGAAGTTTTCATTAATTTAATTAATTTTAATATTATTTTTTTAATTTTAATTAATTTTAACTTTTAATTAATTTTATGAACAAGCATTGGTTTATACTGCATTATGCTAAATTTCTTTACTTTTGACCACCACAGATATTTAATGTAAGTTGAAGACAACGTTTCTAAATTTGTTCATGCAGTTTTTTAATCATTAATTTATTTTAACATACGATAAATTCATATTTTATTGAAAATAAGTTATAAGCAATAAATATTATACCTAGTTCCATAAACAACATAAATTTCTTCTAAATATATGTAAGTTTTGTTGGCATTTATCAAAATATATCAACTTCTAGAAAATCACTAATAATATAATAAAATTGATTAAAGGATCCTCAATTATTTTTATTTTTGTATTTTACAATTTTACTCTACAAATCTATTCTTTAAAATAAAAGTTTAATTGTATAATTATCTATTAAATATTAAAAGTACAACAACGATGTGTTTGTGGGCTACATCGTTCTGAAGTTCCTGATTAACAATATTAGATTAATCAAGTCCTTATTTTTTAGTGAACCCAACACAAAGTGTGTAGTCCGAAACTCCAAGTGTGCACTTCGGGATTCGAGAAGTGTGTACCTAATAAATACCTACTAATAAATAAGCTACCTACTATGAAGATGTTTTTCGGGAAGTCAGTTTAAGCAGATAGTTGATGAGGACTTAAATATATCAATTACATTTTAAGTTATATATCCTACATTAAAATAAATAATTTAATTATAATGTGCAATTCGATTAAAGAAAATAATTATTACTAAAAATTATTACTGAAATTGTACTAAAAATTATAATCATATTGAAGGGGGTAGAGAGGAGCTCTGTATCATATCATTGTATATTAAAAAATGTGCAGTACGAATTTTTATGAAAAATAGGGACTGGGTTAATCTATATAATTTATAGTAATTTTCGTTCCAGAATTAATCAGTTCTCCGTTGATTTTATGAGTCATTCCTTTAGATATTTTTACAGTTAAAACTTTTAAAGTAATTTAAAAATAAACTAAAATAATGTTTTCAATGTTATTATTAAAACCCATTTAATTACCCATTTTTGAAAATTATAATTACCATTTCCATTTTATCACGTAGTATAATATTGAATGTTATAAATTATAATATAACAAATACATTTTTTGTTTGCCTTTTAATATTTGTTCTCCGTCTATTGCACTGGATGAGAAATTTAACTTAATTTGATACACTTAAATACCGCAAGTAGTAACAATGACATATTTTGTTGAAAACGAAAAATTTATTTTCTTCACAAACAATACACATTGCAAATCAGCAAAACCAATAAATTTGCTGAATATATTTTAATTAAACTGAAAAAAAAAACGTTTGTAATCTGATCACGGGATAAACTAAATGTTTTCTAGTAGCCATTGTCATTTGGCTATAACAATTATTAATTACTATTCTACAAATTAAATGACCGTTCAAATATTATCGTTTATTAAAATAATTGTATAATAGAGACGTACGTAATATGTAACAATATTGCATGTCGGTGTTTTTCACAAACAGAATAACCGGTTATTGAAATCCTTCTAAGTTCAGTGATCTGAAGTTGATCGGATTCCCTACGACCATAGAACAATAACCCGTGTCGCATTGAAGTTCGTGTTTTATCATTAAGAATAATAATATAACCAACAGTGCAACGAACTTGGAATCGATCTCAATATATGTATACATCCAGTAATTGGTTTATGGAAATTTCATTTTCAACAAATTTAATGTTTTATTATTGCTGTTCCACGGAGATGCGACAAACCGATACGATCAAATGTATTCGTAATCTGTAATTTTTATTATTTTTTTATTCATCAATTAACAACCAAATTGAAAACAATTCTTAAGGACAATGGGATGCCATTGAGAGGGAAACATAATTTTAATTGCATAAAAAAATAAATATAAACGGAAACGTATTATTTATAAACTCTCATGGGAACATGTCACACACTGTTCATCACTGGTTCTCAAGCTGGGAGGCGCGCCCCCTTTGGGGGGCGTGTACACATTACTGGGAAGACGCAAGCAATTATTACAAAACACAATTTTTATTTATTAATTCCGAATATCGTATAGTTTATTTATAAAGTACACAAAAAATGGTGATCGATTTTTTTTTAATTTATAGGAGAAGAGGGCGCGAGAGATTTTTGAAAGTCTACAAAGAGAGCGTAGAATAGAAAAGGTTGGGAACCACTGCTGTACATCGTAATGTTGCATATTTTACAATAAAATTCAAGAGTATCTAATAATATAGCATAATGCCTAAATTCAATTAGATGTCTTGCGCTGACGAATTGGATTTTTTTTTTAATGATAAAGCCTGTTGCGATTGCCTGTTGCGCCTATGCTGTCAACACCAATATAATCCGACCTAACACTAAACAGGACCTCAGAGATCAATCGCTTTGGTTTCATGCTCATGCATAATAATACCTAATTAATATAAACTTCGTTGTGTCATGGTTTTGTCGTTCGTGGTGCAACGATCATACAGTCGATTATAAAAATATACTCGATTCGTAACATCATTTAACTGCACAAATCGTAGTCGTAATAACAAGTAGGCTATGATGTTATTGGTGTTATTTTCAGGCGGTGTAAATGTTATAGCATACGTAACACCAACATTTTAATAAATTAATAATTATAATACATCACCAGCACCGGCGGCAGACGGCAGTAAAGGTACCCCCCCCCCCCCCCCATACATCGTGCATGAACCGCAATATCATATTTGTTTACCGTACGAGTTGATAATATTGTCTTATCAAAATTCAGAACAGTGCTCGCGTCTGAACGTCTTGCGTTTACGATATAAGTATTAATATTTAAAAATACAATGTTCAACAGTTTCTTATACCTACCGCAGGTTTTCTTGTTGAATAATTATTAATAGTCGTGAACATCGAACAATATTTATTTAATTATTCATTCGAATCCATCCGTTTTACGATTTCATGAAGCAACGTTTTCGTCTACCCCAGTAAAATGTTTAGTAAAGTCAAGGGCTATGATGAGATAACTAGTTCCAGTGATGAAGACGAAGCGAAATCATTGAAGGTAACGCACGATATTATTATCGAAAAACTTTACATGTATAAGTAAAGATAATAAACTAATATATTTAATTAGATAATTTGACTAATACATAATACTGTTATGTTGTTGTAGGAAGTTTTTAGCGAAAAAAGTCCACTTGTTGTTAAACAAACACCAGTTGAAGCTAGAACATCAACTCAACAAGATGTAGGCAGAGAACCTCATGGAGATACTTTTAAAGGAACTCAGTATTTTGCTGCACTAGTTGGTAAACACTTTTTATCTCATCATTCGTTGATTTGTCTTGAAATAACCCACTTGTTCTGTGTACTTACCACAGTTACTATTGGCGGATTCATTGTGGGTACAACAGTTGGATGGTCATCTCCAGCTGGCCCATTACTAGAAAACAATCATTATGGATTCAATGTAACTGAGGAAAATGTTTCGTGGATTGCAGCATTGGTACCTTTCGGTGCCTTACTTGGTTGCCCAGCAATAGGTGGTTTAGTGGACAAATTAGGACGAAAGAACATGATGATTATATTAACTGCACCCACATTCATTGGTTGGGCAATGATAATATGGGCTCAATCTGTAAGTATAAAAATTTATTAAAACCCCATTCTTATTTTTGCTGACAATCATGTTTTTTAAGGTGGTTTGGATCTATGTTGGGAGAATATTAACTGGATTTGCTAGTGGTTCATATTCTGTTATTGTACCCTTGTACACTTCTGAAATAGCTGATAAAGAAATTCGTGGTACTTTGGGTAATTATTTTCAATTACAAGTCAATCTAGGAATCTTGTTCATCTATATTTTGGGATGCTATGTAAGTACATTTCAGTTCTAATTAACTTATCATCTAAAAATACTATGTTTTTTACAGTTTGATGTTTTTGGCTTGTCAGTTGCTTGTGCAATAGTTCCATTGATATATTTATGTTTTTTGGTTTTAATACCAGAGAGTCCATTTTTTTATCTTATGAAAGGAGATGTTGATAATGCTCGATTGTCACTAAGATTCTTTCGTGGACGCTTGTATAATATAGAACCAGAATTAAATACCATGCAGAAATCTTTAGCTAAGGTATACAAATATAATTTAAATATATTATAATTTATTGATGACTACAGCTAATTATATATATATATATATATATAATTTATTAATTAAATTAAATAAATAAATTTAATTATTTAATAATATTTTAATAATAATTTTATTTAATAAATATTTTCTTGCAGACTGAAAGAGAAAGAGTTCCTACTATTGAAGCATTTCAAACTAAACCAGCAAAACGAGGCTTAATTGTGGGTCTTGGATCTATGTTTTTTCAACAGTTCACTGGATGCAATGCTATTATTTTCTATGCGACAGCTATCTTTACTGTAAGTATACAAAATTAATATTTATAAAAATATTTACGCTAATATGAATTTATTGCAGGCAACTGGTAGCAAAATTCAATCAAGTACATCAACAGTAATTGTGGGTGTTATGGCTGTAATATCCACGTATATTTCTACGCTTGTAGTTGATAAATTAGGAAGAAAGATTTTACTGTTGTTCTCCGTTGTTTCAATGGGAATTTGTACTTTCCTCATCGGTGGATTTTTTTATTTAAAAGATTCCAATTACAATATTTCATCTATTGCATTTATTCCATTAGTATCATTATGTATATTTATCATTGCATTCTCTATTGGCTTTGGTCCCATTCCATGGATGATGATAGGTGAAATATTTCCTGCTCAAATTAAAGGTAATATATTTACTCAGATGAATACAAGATAAATTAGGATTCTATATTTTACATTTGTTAAAAGTCCATGTATCCATGTATATGACATATTCAAATTCCATGTACCCTGATTAGCTGAATATCAAGGGATAATGCAAGTGCTCCCTTCCCATTTAAGAAAAATAATTAAATTATATGATGTATATATTTTTTATAAGATACCAAGAAGTTGAGAATATGAGGAGACCAATGACAATAAGTGGTAATATGATAGATATAGCCGAAAACTTAAAATATTAAAGATCATTTGTACAAAAGGACAGGGGTTTTGGCATGGATGTATAACATTTAAATTAGGTTTAAACAGGATTAAGTGAGGTTGGAAGAAATTGAAAGAAGCATTGGACATTTTTTATGATTAGATAACCCCAGTGAGTCTAAAAGGTAAATTTTTACAGGAGTGTAGAAAGACTAACTATGCTATAAGATTCAGAATGTTGAACAGTTGACAGGAGAATAAAGCAAAGTATGAGTGTTGTGGAAATGAGAATGCTTAGATGGATGAGTGGAATGACAAGAAAAGATAGAATATAATAATAATAACAATAATAATAATAATAGGAATGAATATATAGTAGTATTAGAGTAGCGTCTATAGTGGACAAGGTGAGAAAAAATAGACTATAATGAGACGAGACAAAACAATTGCAGTAAGAGTTGTTATGAAAATGAACGTTGAAGGGAAAAGAAAAAGAGAAAGACCAAATAGCGATGGTTGAATAGAATTAAAAATAATATGAGGGCTATTGGTATGTGTGGGATGTAGAAAATCGAGATGATTGGAGGTTTAGGACAAGGGTGGCAGACCCCATATAGTTGGAAGAAAGGTGAAGGATATAAAGAAGATGATTACATTTTTTTTCATGAAAATAATTAATACATATTTAATTTTTTTAAATACATACATAAATAAATTTGCAAGTATTCATAATTTATTAATTTTTATTTTATAATTATTTTATTTAAATAATATTTTATAACATATTTAACATGATAATATAATAAAAATATTTTTCATTTAAAATAATCTATGTTCTTATGTTTAATTAATTATATTAAGTAAATAGAGTAATTATACTTTTAATTAAATTTTAATACATGGGTAGTTGGACATCTAATATACATGTAAGCAAACTTCAAAACCATGTCTGTGTACATACAAATACCAAAAAGGGAACCCTAGTAAAAATTTGATACAGTCATATTGTTGTATGTTTATAACTTTTTATATTTTATGTTATATTTCAGGTATTTCTAGCTCAATTGTGTGCATGTCCAATTGGTTTTTTGCTTTCTTGGTCACCAAATTTTTCTTAACGTTGGTATCTGCTATTTTTATATACAATACTTTCTTCTTGTTCACATTCTTCAGTTTGTTGGGCATATTCTTTGTGATTTTAATTGTCCCAGAAACTAAAGGCAAAACAATGGAAGAAATTCAACTACTCCTTGGTGCTGATCCCGTTTTACCAGAGAATATTGAAAATCAAAATGAAATTCAAGGTTAATGAGATATTAAATTAAAATAATTTTACTGTATCTATGTTTATCAATATTTATTTATCTTCAATTTATACTTAGTGAAACAATTTTACATCCTCAAATTTAAAAATAAATAATTATGATACCAAAGTATAATTTATTATTATTATTATTGTTAATCACTCGTAAAATGGTAACATATTTTTATAATTAATCTCATATTGTAAAATATCTTCCAACTGTATTATTTAAAAATCTAATAAATAATTGTTAAAAGATAAGGTTATTATTTATTTACTTTTGGAGATACTTCAGATAGAATAGTTAAAATTTATATATTTTAAACTGGTTATCAAAACTTGGCTGTGATGTGTAAAATTGTTTTAAGTCTTGTGCTATATTAATTTGATCTTAAACATTGGTTTTATTAAATACTTTTATCATAATTAAAGATGTTTGTTTTTTGTCATAGTTATACTTCAATTGTTGCTAATTTATTACACCGTTTAATATTTATATTATTGATTATGTGTTTAGTTTTATTTTATTTTTTTTTTTTTGCTAGTTTATTACTTATCAATAGCACTATTATGTTTATGTACGAAATAATTTTGAATTTTATCTCTTCTTAGATGTTCAACTATTATCTATACTCAATTAAAATCTGTGATACCTTGAGACTATTATTGTACACATATTGTTTATGGGTATGAAAAAAAAATGTGAATGTATTCAAATAAATCAATAAATTAATACATAATATACACATACACATTATTATTTTTGTTTCAATAACTATATTATGATTTTTGTATATTACTCACCTATAGACTATTATCATTAAGCGTTTTTCAAATTCACAGTTACTACATTCTCAACGGTCTAGTATTTTCTTATAAGGCATTTAATTGTTTCTTTATACATTATGGAAATTAGTAAGGAATTTTGTTGTGATAGATATATTTATATTTTATTTCTATGTTTAAATAATTTAATAATGTACAATTTCAAAAAAAAAAAAAAAACTGAATGTTATGAGTTATGGTATTCAAAAATACTTACAATATTTTTTATATTTTATTTGCATTTAGCATTTATTTATTTTTCACCATAATCTTAAAATCATTTTTTTTAAGTATCTGTTAAAAATGATAATTAGCTCAGTAAATTTATAACTACTAACTATAATAGATTTTAAATTAGAACACATCAGGCAGTGAACAAAAACCGGTCTGAGTGTCTAACGCCAGGGCACTCCTGAGATTCTTTGGAAACCAATAGAATGATCTTATTCCAAACACTGTATAGTAGTGCTGGAATAACATTTGAAAATCCTAAAATGTAAATAAATCTGGATTTATACTAATTTTATTAATGAAACATTTTAAGTAGTTGGTTATATAAAATTTATAAATTAAAAGTACTTTAAAATAACGATGATATAATAAATGCCAGCGGCCATGTAACAAGATCTCCGAAATGAGGACCAAAGATTATAGGGTAATAATGTACCTTGTTCTGTAGAGGAAATCACCAGGTATTCCATTGGACTCTGTAGAAGACACATTTTTTAGACTGATGAGCTTGAGGGGGATATCATTAGGAATGAAGTAACAGTTTAGTAAGCTAATATCAACTAATCAGCAAGGTCAAATGTAGGTCAAATGTAAACTTCGCATAAGCTTTATTTTTACGATAAATCAAAGCTTTGAGCTCTTTGAATAACCAGGGGAGAAAACTAAATATAGAAGTAGGACACAAGGACAAACCTCAAGATCGAATTGTGGAGAAAATTAGGGAAGATGTTAACTACAGTATTTAAGTCAAGGTTGAATAGAGTAGAGACCAGACTTGGGTAAAATACTTTTTAAAAGTATTTAGAATGAATACTCGAATATTTACAAAAAATAGTATTCCGAATATGTATTCAAATACATTATTTAGAATACTTCAAAAGTATTCCGAATACTTTTAAAATACTTCTAGTTTTCATACTATAAAAATATTAGATGTCCACTCAACAGAAATATTTGAGATTGTAAACTAAATATATGTTATTGTATTGTATTTTTATAATACATAACTGTTATAATTTATGGTTTACAACAATAATAAACACCTGATATTAGCTTATACAAGATACGACGGAGAAGTAATGAAATCATTTAAAAAAGAGATGATTTAACGGTATTCAGAATACTCGTTATAAGTAGGTATTCAAAATACTTTATTGGTTAGGTTAGGTACTTGGTTTGGTACTTTATTGAATACTTTCAAAAAAAGTATTTAAAAAGTATTCGAAATACTACCAAAGTTTGGTAGAGACCCCCAATCGTAGAAAGACAAAAAAGATATATAATAGAGTTATAATTAGTCTTTTTGAAGTTCAGAAAATAATGCGAGGTATTAAACATAGTAGAGGTAGAGGTTAGGTTAGGAAATGAAATATCAAGAGGATATGGATCAGTGGCAGATCTAGGATTTTATCATGGAGGGGATGTAAAATATTTTCGTACATAATATTTATAGGTATAATAAGTTTTATTCTACTAAATTTACAATACAAAATTTAATTTTTTTGATGACTGTGCCATTACTCTATGGCCGTATTCCGGGTCATGATATAAATAATAGGTGTATATCTGTAATCTGATATGAAGTTAGATACTAATGTATACTAGTTTATCCTTCTTGGTTATGAAATAATGAAAACGAAATAATAAAAGAATAGTTTTAATTTAAATTGTGCATGCAAAAATTGAATTGGTTGCAAAAAAAATTTTTTTAACTCTCGGCCCATGGGGGGGGATCTATTCCCCATATCCACCCCCGTAGATCCGCCACTGATATGGATTAGGTGGTACAAACGGTTCAAGAGATTTACAAACAATAACGGAATCGGTGTTACAACAAATCAGATCAAGAATGAAACCATTAAAGTTTAAAATATAATTTTTTTTGTAGAACACATTGAAAGCAATCACCGTTCGTGTGAGCTATCTGCATTCCAACTACGTATGCTTGAGATTTACGATCAAGTTCTAAGCGGCGTTTAAGCAGTAGGGTACGTTGTAAGAGAGTCTTATCTTTGGCAATGCGAATGTTTAGCGGAAAACTAATACCACTTTTTTTATCTCATAATCGTTGGATAATAAATTAGAAATACATTCTTTAGATTCAAGAATTATATTCGATGGACGAATGTTGTTAGGCTGAGCTTTACCCAAACAAACCACTTTCTATTGAGCGGGAAGTTTGCCTATAGGAGGAGTGACGACATTCTCAATGATTTGTCATCGGTGATATGCTGAAAGGTAGGGATAATGTAGTAATCAGATGACTCAGAAATAATGCATACCAATAAGCTGGTGGGACATTTGTTCTGTTCAAACGTTTGTAAAAATAATAACCTGCAATACTCGAGCACAACAGAGGAATTTTAGTTGTATCACTACCCCAAGAATATTAGACATCAGTACAATATAAATATGGTTATAGATGTATTGTGATAAGTTCAAAATTATTTCAAATAAAAGCAAAAAAAGTTTTAACATGTTTCTTCGTAATAAATAAATAATTGTAGCAAAAATCATACAAAAATTAATATTAGGTCATTAACTAACTTTATTGAGTTCTTAGTTTAGGGACATCTGAAAATAATTCTAAGTCGACGATTTTTTTTTTCTTCATTTGATTCATATTAAAACACAAGTTTTTCTCACTATTAGATATTAAAATAACCATTTTTTTTTTTTTTTTTGGTTCCACGCTTATGTTCACTGACCATTATTATGGGTAGATACTGAATAGCGAGTGGGTAAAATTAAAATTTGATATTCGCCAACTGCATTTTCTGTATGTTGCAGCGAAACTCATAATGATAGTTATCGAGGTTACACGAACAATAACAAAAATAAATATTACACAAAACCTAGTAAAAAAAAAAAAAAAAATAATTAATTAAGTAAAAAAACAAACGTAATAGAATCAAGTTTCAAACATAAATTAACTCTTCTCTAATAATTATAAACGAGGACTTCGGGGGTCAATGTTAATAAAATAATAGTAACTAATTACAATAAACAATAAATGTTCAACGTTTATAATGTTATCTTTTAAAAGCAACGCATTGCATCTATACCAAGTTTACAGATTCCGTTCATGTCAGTATTAAACATTTATACCATTCAACTAATTCACGAATAATTGTTATGAAAAAGTTTTTCCTATCTGTACGTCTTCCTGTGCACCACACTATTATGCGGCACGATGTACTGTTAACAAATCCAATTTATTGATAAATATAACAAATTACTGGTGTTGAAATACCTTTTCGTCTTGGTCGGTGCCAGTGGCGTACATACGGGGGGGGGGGGGGGGTGTCCGGGTTTAAAAGCCCCAGGGCCAAAAAAAAGAAAAGAAAATTGTTTTATTATTGATGACGTGTAATATATTCGTAGTTTCATTATTACGCTTTGAACTTAAAATATACAACTACACAAATATTATGATAATTAAATAATTATATTGATAGGTGTTAGAAAAATGTTAACTATGCTGTTTTTATATTCCAATAGCTATTAATTTACTGTAATGTAAAAGTAAACTGTAAATTGGTAAAAAAGTTGTATAAAATAATATCTATTTATAGCAGTTATTTATCTTATTTATCTGTGCAACGAAAAAAAAAGAAAACGATTATTTTTGTTAACCCCCCCCCCCCCGAGCAAGATTGAATGTACGCCACTGATCGGTGCATTATACTTCATACTAATCGGCATTCGGTACATAAACTTTAATGTAAAAATTTATTATACTCGAATACTTATGTCGTTCAACGAGTGAATTTTTTTTATTGTTTCAACTAAAAATCTAATCTAAATGTTAAGTTCTTTATACTAACGTGAACTGATGTAATTTTATCCGTCTTGTCTTAATGGATCATTACATACATAATTAATCGAATTAAAAAATTATGATAACAATGGGTTGTCGGTGGTCTTGCGTAGAAATGGAAATTATTATTAGTTTATAACAACTATGTATCATTATAACACATTGAATCCAATAATTATTTTCAAATCATCACAAATTCGAATAAATGATTCATACTTAATTTTAATAATAGACTATGATTAGAGCGTGATGTCCGCTTCAAGTGTACGATTGATAATATTAAACTATTAAATTAATGTTGCACATTTAACAAGCTAGAAAAGAAGTGTAAATAATTTACCATATTATCAATTATTGACATTAGTATTTTGTAATTTACTACACATTTTCAGTGCATAAGCATCAACTGCTGATGATGGTTTTATTGTACGTTGGATAAATTTCTTTTACCGAAATATCGATATTTCTAATTATTTCTTACATGAAACAGAATCAATATCTTTGGTAAAAACGAGTTGCGAGTACCTGCAACAATGTCCGGCGGAACCGATAGCATACAGTTCGACATTTCGAATTTCACAGTCGAAGATCAATCGCTGAAGGTATCTAATTAGTATTACATGTTGGTACACAAGTTCTGTAAAATAGTAAAAAAATTACTTGAATACATTTTTTGTAACAGCATTCTGTCGATGGCACGCTAGGTTTATAAAATACAAATTAAAACATGAATTTTAATAAATGTTTGCTATTTTGCATGGTGCCGACAAAATAAATATAAGTGTTCGAGTGCATATAACAATAATGGATATCATCCATCTTTTGACCTTTCTGCGAAGCCAAAAAAATTAATATTTTTTTCGTGTGTACATTTCATACTTTGATGTATTCGTGCGACTGTAGCGATAATTTTCAAAGCACGATTTGATCAGCTTATCTCGTGCAATAAATATTGTACGATAACAATCGCAATCGCATTGGTGTGAGTGGTAATTTAATTTTATTTTTAAATACATATAAATAATAATAGACGATAATTATCGTACATCGCATATCGCGTATCTCATATATCGTATCGCTCTGGTATGCGTCCCGCCTAAGGGTTTATTTGCACGCTAGTGGCTTGTTTGTACTATATATGGAGGTATGTTCAGGGTGAAAGTTCGAGTTGAAACATAAGGTTTACCATATTAGTATACATACAGTGGCGCAACCAGGATTAATTTTTTTTGAGGGGAGGGGGTTATAAATTTGAAAAAAAATTAGTTTGGAAGGGGTGTGGTGGGGATAATGAGGTAAGGTTGAGGTTATTACATATTTCGGGGGGAGAAGGGGTCATAATTCCCCTAGTTTCACCACTGTACACATGTATCATTTTTTCCCTTTTCGACTGCCTGAAAATATTTTATTATGTTTAATTTGTTGATTTTAATTTATTACCTGTTAAAGTATGTAAAAAATAATATAATATAAGTAAATGAAAATACATATCAATTTAGTATCTATACGACGATTGTATACTTTCTTTTATATCGTAATAGTAATTTCTCTAATTTAAAATAGTAAAATAGAAAATTAACTAAGCCAATTAAAAAAATTAATTACATTTTCATACATCTTATAATTTTATAATAAAGTTTACTCAATAGTAAAATATTACAGATTGTGGACGGATAATTTTATCCACTCCATGAAAAAAGAGATTGTACTAAGTGGACCTGACATATACATACAAATCTACACGTTATAAATACTTTTCAAAAGCGTTATTTATTATTTACATGTCTGCGCATTGGATAGCCGAGCATTTAATTCTAACAAATAATTTAAAGCGCAAGCTACGAAAAGTGAAGATTAAAATATTGTTATATATGTTGTATATACCTACGTACTATTGTAATTGAAATTATTGTATAATCGTTTCGGGGAAATATTAAAAATAATTCGTTGGTTATAGAAAAAATTGAGCGAACATCACACTTTGTTCGATGCCAAAATTTTGGCCAAAACAATTTCAGTTTCTTTGGAGGAAATAAATCTTGATAAAGAACAGCAGCCACGAAGAGGAGCTCAATATTTGGTCGCAGTAATCGGTAAGTTTTTGTATCCTGTAAAATAAATGTTTTAAAAATAAAAGGTTCCCCCTCCCACCATCGAGTAATCGATATTGGTTTCGTGCACGCCATTACAGTGTAATATACTTGTAGTGACCGTTTCGGGGTTCATCATTGGCACAACGCTCGGATGGACATCTCCAGCAGGACCGATGATGAAAAACAAACAGTACAATTTTCCCGTGACCGAGGAAAACATTTCGTGGATCGCGGCGTTGATGCCACTCGGCGCCATGATCGGTTGTCCAGTCATGGCTGCCGTAGTGGACAATTTGGGGCGCAAAAGAACGATGGCATTTTTGACCATACCCACTATCATTGGTTGGGTCACGATAATATGGGCATCATCTGTAAGTATCAAAACTTACTTCGATTTAAACGATGATGACAGGGATTTTATATTTGAAATAATATCCTATTAATTTAAGTGTATATAAACATTTTTTTTTTTTATTAGCTTTTAGTAATAAAACTATGATAGCTCGATACTATTCATAATGTATCCGTAGTGGGTGCCAATTAAAATCACGAAATATTTTAACAGCGAAGATATTAATAGCGAAAAGTAAGAAATATACCTGGATACAGTGGCGTAGCCAGGATTTTTAAATGGGGGGAGGGCTAACCACTTTTTTTGGATAAGTAAGGTAAGAGAGGATATGAGAATTCACCCTTAACCCCCCACCATCTACCACCAAGTTTCTAAAGGTAATTCAAGCATTTTAGTATAGTTTTAAAAATATTTATTAATATATAATTTATAATAATAATAATAATAATTTTGGTTTCAGTGTTCAGTCAATTGCTCCACTCTGACAGCTGCATTCTCTTAGGCGAATTTCTGGCCAATTCAGTTATTATTTTACTTTCATAGAATTGCTCTTTTTTTATTTATATTAGCCATAGCTAACCCATTCAGTCTGTTTTCCGACATGGTGCTTCTTAAAAAAACTTTTAAGCGATTAAGTGCTGAAAACGTTCTTTCCGGAGTGAAAGAGGTAACTGGTAACGTGGCGAATAATTGTAAAAGTATTTTAATGTTAGGTCGAAAATTGGTGCGATGAGAGAGTGAATCAAGAGCAGAATTCGGTTTTGGAATAGTATTTTGACTCCATTGTTGCCTCCATATGAACAGGTCAGCTCTGATTGTAGATGAGGTATCATCATGGAGATCTTGGACATATATTTTAGCAGCTTTTATAATATTTTTATCGTCATACATATTTAAATTGGCCGGAATAAGTCCTTCAAGTGACATAACATCAATATGTCTGATTAAAACGAGCATTGATTCTATTAAATAGTCAAGATACATTATACATATAAACACGGCCCATGGGGGAGGCTATAGCCCCCTTAGCCCCCCCTCTTGGCTACGCCACTGCCTGGATATATCTTTATAATATAATAAGTAATAATTAACATTAAAATCAAAATACTATATAAAATAAAATTTAAATTTGATATTTTACCTAAACTTGTGTAAGTATATAAAATACATCATCACACTATTCTATGATCACAATATATATATAATATATAAAGCTTGACAGCAGTTAGGTTTAACCACGGTTTATCTTTATTACGTGATCGAATTGAAATAGTACAAAATTACATTATTGATTATCTAGTATTATTATATTATAAAGGTATACTCACTAACGAAAATAATTTCTTTTCGTCATTAATGTTTTCGCTGTTAAAACATTTCGCGATTTTTATTTTCGCTATTTTATTTTCACGATTTTCAAATGGACTCATCCGTAATGCATAATATAAATGTGTACAGCAACGCATACTTAAATCTGCGACAAAAGATCAAACTGGTTTAACCTTTTTAAGAACAACAGTGCAAACTAGAAATACTTCTCCAGCCCTCAAATGAGCTAAACTTTATTTTGAAAAAAATTAAAAATCCCTTTGTGAACAATTTGTACGGTCATCGGCCATCATAATGACTATTCTTATCGCAATTCACTATTCTACATTTGGAATTTTTCCTCAGTTTTCTCTACCGGGGTAGAATTCTTTAAAAAACAAGTTAGACACACCGAATATCCGATTCAAACTGTCCATCGACCATTCTTTCAAGTCGCTTATAAAACCCCACCTGGCAGAACATATTTTAAGTAATTTTCACTGTGTGGCACTTCAATAAAATTGTCAACCAGAGGAATATAGAAGGGAAATCAACTCTTCTATCTCAACAATTTTATTATAGGTATATATTATATCTATATATAGCTATCAGTATCTGTATTTAGAAAAATATATTAAAATTTAAAATTACAAGTTTGAATCAATGAAAAAAAATATTTGTATAAATAATTGATTTTTGTATAGATCTGGGCCAGATAGTTTTTTTCTTCTCTCCTTAGACTCCGAAAATTTAGTAATTGCAAATCTAGGGTCAAATATTGCTGTTCCAATACCAATGAGAACGATATACATTCTTGAATAACTTGATTGTTTGTTAGTTTTTAAAATTTCGAATGTACTGATACCGTTCTCTCTGGACCAGCACTATATTAAACTGATCCATTTTTGCTGTAGAGTTATTCATTTCTAGAGGAGGTGGAAATTTCTTTGCAGCATAGAGACTTATAGCATCATCGATAAAACAAGAAACTACATGTTCTCCAAATAGATTTAGAACTCCAGTCCGTCCTACTTGAATAGTTTCGATTGAAGATCTTCCGTCAGTAAATTTTATCGTGCTTTCTTTAATGATTTCTTGGTCTACAGCCAAAAGAAATTCCTTGTAGCTTAATGTTACTTCTTTTCTCACTGAAAACCAACACTTTTTAGTAGAAATAAGAGAATTTACATTATGTCGTTTTCTTAGGATTTCCTCAGTAATATTTTTATTTGTTTCTTCAATATTTTCACTTGCAAGATAATTCATAAGTTTTTCTTCAATTCCTTCTGGATAAGATTCATTTTCCATTAAAGTATTTAAATCCACAGCAACTTTCTTTACGAGCTCTATATCAGTCATAATAATCTTTGATTTTTGACTATTTTTTTGAAGTTTTTCAATATATTTCAAAATGTCCATTATATGACATGTGAGGTGTTGTTCACCCTCATCTTCCAATGTACGTAAGAATCCTTTAGCAGTAGTTTTTTCAATTTTTGTTAAGTCAGAGCTTTCAATAAATGCTCAGCAAATCGTACTTCAAATATAATTAAAATAGGACTATACTCGACTAGTCGTGGATTATGGTAACTTGCCTACTTGTACAATGTACCAGTGCTGGTGTATTCAGCGGCGGATCTAGAATATTTTGACAGGGGGGGGGGGCACAATAATTATTCTTGTAAAATTTATTTTTAAATTATAACAATCGGAAAAAAGCGATAACACCGGCAGTCCGACGCATGGTGATATGCTGGGAGTTCCGGAGTCCGACAATAGAAAAATACGATATTAAAAGTAACTAGTAAAGACCGTAGAGTTATACTAAGATATTTACTTATGTCAAGTTCAAATTATTTAAATTATAGTGTACATAAAAAAAAATTATTCAAATAAAACATTTATAAAAGCTATAAAAATATAAAAATTTTCCCCGTCATTTTTTTTAGATCCCACTTGACAGGAGGGGCACGTGCCCCTGTGCCCCCCCCTGTATCCGCCACTGGGTGTATTCGTCAAGTATGCCAGTCGTGGAAACTCTTTATTTGTGTATGACTTGTGCACTTGCCAAGTGTACGATGATTGGCGTACTTCTTAAATACGCCAGTCGTGGGAGACCGGTTTTAGACGAGTATAAGTATTACTTTACTATGAAATATGAATACTAAATAACTGTACAAACGTAATTACGTAATATAAGTAGAAAATCAGAAATTTAGAACATAGCACGTTATTCCTTCCCAGCCTTCAATTTATGAAGACAATGACGATCGACGATTTCCTAAGAAAACGATAAAATTACGTGTCTTATTTTCGTAATTACATCTATATCTATTCCTATTTTATATCAATAAACAATTCCGGCAAAGCTTTAACTGCGTGCATATGACATGTTCTACATTCAATAAAATATTATTGTTTATCACATAATATGGGATAAACTATACCCAATGGAGAGCTTAAAATAGTTTTATGTCCCTTATATATTTATAATAATAATTAATAATTGACAATGGTATCGGTTGATATGAGAATGTGCACAATCACCTACTAATGGGTAATATTCAAATATCACTGGGGGGCACTAGTGTCATGTACTATGTATGTTATAATATGATCTGCCAAACCTAGATAGCCTCCGAACGTAGAGGTAGCAACCGCTACCTACGAACCCTATTCGGTAGGTCATCGCATGCACATCTGTCCATAAGATCCATACGTACGTAACGCTGCAGTGCATTATGGTGTCTAGGTGACGTGGATCTACGTCGGTAGAGCTCTGACCGGATTCGCCAGTGGTTCGTATTCCGTCATCGTGCCCCTATACACTTCGGAAATAGCCGACATGGAGATCCGCGGCACGCTGGGCACGTACTTTCAGCTCCAAATGTTCCTGGGAATCCTGTACACCTACGTTTTCGGGTCGTATGCAAGTCATCCGCGCACAGGGATCGCCCAGATTTTCTTATTCAAGAGTCGCTCTGGTTACAGGTCAACGTGTTCAGTCTGTCGACGGCCTGCGCACTGGTCCCGACGGTGTTCGCATGCCTGTTGGTCCTGGTGCCGGAGAGCCCGATCTATTACCTGATGCGAGCGGATGTTGAGAACGCTCGGTCGTCGTTGAGATACTTCCGCCAGTCCCTGGGCAACGTGGAGGAAGAGCTGGAAGCCATGCAAGTGTCCCTGGTCAGAGTGCGTGCACGCCTGAATATTATGATTGATTTCCCTAGGCGCGTACTGACAATGTGCAACCATGCACGGCATGGTGTTTTGTTGCAGGCCGAGAGGGACAGGCTCACGCTGACAAAAGCATTCCAAACGGCTCAGGCCAAACGAGGTCTGTCGATCGGCCTCGGGCTCATGGTGTTCCAACAGTTTACCGGATGCAACGCAGTGATTTTCTACGCGACGACTATTTTCAACGTACGGACACGCGCAGTGGCGTACTTAGGAATTTTAGGACAGGGGCAACACATATTTCCCCCTACCCCCAGTCAAAAGAAAATGTCGTTACTAATCATTATTATTTATTAAAACCTCTATTAATTGCTAGGTATACAATATGAATACAAAATTCAAATCTATTTCTTCTTCGATTTGGAACTAGCAAAATCATTAATTATTTTTTTTAAAAATCTATTGAAGTGGTTATTTCGGCTTCGATTGGTAATACCGCTAAAGCCGAGCAGTGGTCTTGTGCCATTGTAGATGGTGTACATAAGAAAATATGTAG